ACTGGGTGCTGCCCACAGGCTTTCACGTTAAAGGCTTGTTCCCTGGGGTGCTGCCGTTGAGCAGTGATGGTGAGAGCTTGGGAGAAAGAACCCAGCGAGGTGTCCTTAGGTCATTAAGCATGTACCCTCCAGGGGACTGTGGGGCCTCCATAGTCTTTCTGGGGCGTGCTGGCCAAGAAGTAGACAACTTTTGCTTCCGCACACTCCCATCACAGTACCTCATCATAGTCCCTGACAATGAGTCCAGCTATTGTGGCCTAGAACCGCCAAAACCACCAGTCAAACAAACATTTCCTAAGCTCACTGCCTTGGGCATTTTGTTGCAGGAGATGAAGGGCATGCAGGTCTGATGTCCTAACTCCCTCTTCTCCTGTCTAGTCCCCTCCACTGGACCCTAAGAGCTTTCTCAGGTGCTAATGAACTTGATTTCTTACTTTAAACCTTGCCAAAGATCTCGAGAAATAGCATGCTAAAGCCCAAATCCTTAACTGAAGCTTTAAAGCCCCGTGGAGCCTGTATGTCTTGGCCCTAGCCCTCTAAAAAACATCTAGTCTTTCTCCATGAAGAATGCACCAGGTTATAGCATGGAACAGACGGCCTGCAGTATGGACATATGATCCCTGAGGAGCTCTGGGTGCCTTAGCTACTTTGTGCCATCATCTAGATCAAGAGGAAACAGTATTTGAGTCTTCATCCAATTAAAAAAATATTTTATGTGATTTAGTATTTTGCATGCATGTATGTATATGCAATATGTATGCACATGGTACCCTTTGAAACCAGAAGACACTGCGAGAGCCCCTGTGTGCTCGTTAGTTGACTCAAGCTAGAGTTGTTTGGTAAAAGTTAATCTTAACCGGGAAACTATCTCCTTAAGATTTACATATAGGCAAGTGTGTAGTACATTTACTTAATTAGTGTTTGATGTGAGAGGGCCTAGCCCATTGTGGGTGGTGCCTTCTTTGGGTTGGTGGTCCTGCATTCTATAAGAAGGCAGGTTGAGCAATGCATGAGGGTCAAACCAGTAAGCAAGACCCTTCCATGGCCTCTACATCAGTTCCTACCTCTAGGTTCCAGCCCTGACTGAGTTCCTGCATCAATAGAGTGTGCCTTGCAACTTGTAAGTGGAAATAAACCCTTCCCCCTCCCATGCTGTTTATGGCCATTGTGTTTTATCACAGCAGTAGAGACCCTAATGAAGACACTCTGGAACTGTAGTTATGGATGAGACATCACTTGACAGCTGGGAGCTGAACCTAGGTCCTCTCTAGGAACATCAAGTGCTCTACAACTGGACTCTGGGAGCTCAGCCAGGTGCTCCCTGCGGGTTTCTGCCTCTGTTTCCATCAGTTGCTGGATGAAGGTTCTATGGTGACATTTAAGATATTCATCAATCTGACTACAGGGCAAGGCCAGTTTGGGTACCTTCTCCTCTATTGCGTAGGGTCTTAGCTGGGGTCATCCTAGTGGATTCCTGGGAATTTCTCTAGTGTCAGGTTTCTTGCGAGTGCCATAATCAAAATATCTCTTTCCTTGCTCTCATCTCTGTCCTTCCTCCATCTTGACTATCCTGTGCCCTCACGTTCTCCTCCCCGTCCCCTCCCATTCTCCCCTCCTTTTCCTTCACCCCCATGCTCCCAATTTGTCAGGTGATCTTGTCTATTTCCCTTTTCCAGGTGGAAGGGCCTTGGATCTTCCCCAAAGCAATGTGCCTTCCCCTTTTGAGGAGTAGATGGGGATTGGGTTGAGGGGGGGAGGTAGAGGGAATGGGAGGAGAGTGAATGGGACCTGGTATTAGTATGTAAAATGAAAAAAGATAGTTTTTCTTTAAAAAAATAAAATAAAAAATTAAAGAAAACCCAAAAGAACATCAAGTACTTTTACCTGCTAAGCGGTCTCTCCAGTCTCATTTCCTTCCATCTGGATGTCTGTTAACTAATGTTATGCTATGTTCTGATTGTGTACGATATTGATTAATCAATCTTTTTTTTAAACTTTCTCATTTTTCTTCGTGCCTTTCGCATCATGTCTCTTGGTCCACCCCCCCCATCCACCCCAAATAAAGGACAATAAAATTTAAGAGAACAAAGGGGGAAAAAAGAGGAAAATTTCATCATGGAAGATGCAGTATGACACAGTGAGCCACGCAGGAAACCCCTTTATTCATATATTTTCCTCACTCAGGTGTTCATCACAAAGAATCACTGATCTGGTTCGAGGTCTGACCCTGGTCTCTGCTACACCATTGACACTGGGTCCTCACTGGGACCCCTCCTGGACTTCCTGTTGCTGCCCTGTGTCATGGAGACCCTGCAGCTCTGGGTCCTCAGGACCGAATCCCCGCTTCCTGCCTCCCCTCCCGTCCCCTCCCCTCCCCTCCCCTCCCCACTGTACTCCATGAGTTCACAGGTAGGGGGATGTTGGGGTGGGCCAAAACATAACCCAGGTTCTGGGCCTGGGTGTTTGCAGGACAGTTCAGTCCGCTGGCTCTTCCCTATCTTCTTCAACCAGGTTGAGCCCTTCAGCCTTGCCCAGGCAGCAATGAGGAAGGGGTGGGGCCATTTCTCTTGCTTTCGTGACCTCAGGGTCAGTTCTTCTACATTTCAGGGCCAGATCTGTTGTGTTGCCCAGGCAAGGTATAGGGGCTGCACCTGATGAGGGGCGGGACCAGCTCTTCCATCTGCCTCAGGTGTTGATGGGTCGGGGAGTGGGGGGATCTCTTCTCCACCCATTCTACCATGTGACAGATGCATAATGGGGACAGCTCTCCCATGCTCACAACATCTGGCTGGCTCCACTCACACATCCTCCAACAGGAGAGTCTGCCCCAAGGTCTGAAATTCAATTTACAGTCTCTGAGGGTAGCAAACACTGTGTGGGAATACCAAGGAGCTCGGAACTGGCGGGGATTAAATTCCCACTGAAGCGGCGTCCCTACTAAAACCACAGATTATTTCTCTCAGAGGGAAGATGGGAAAACTGCTGAGTCAGCGGGAAAGAAAAGGGGGTTTTATGACTCCGACGCTCCAGAGAAGACAAAGAGCTCTTATCAAAAAAGGAGTGCGGGAAGAGAGGAGAGAAAGAGAAGGTGAGCAGACCAGAGCCATGTTCAGACTCTCTGAGGCCTGAGAAGCACCAGCTGATCCTGGTGGAAGGATGAATATACCCACCATTTCATTCTTAAAACGACAGTCAAATTCCTGTGATCAAAGACGCAATCGTGCATCGTGGTCAGTTAATGAGTGTGAGGGCAAGATTGACTGGTCACCCCTCTCACCCCTCACCACCTACCACAGATGAGGGAGCTACCCTCTTCCTCCTTGCCATCTGCAGCACTCAGGAAAGTTAGCCCTCCTTGGAGCCTGGGCAACACAGTAGACATGACCCTGTTGGCAGAGGCATGGGAGAGGCAGCCTTGAGTGTGTGAGAGTAGAATAGCTGGCCACACCCCCCACATCTGCCATATGGTGGTGAGGGCAAGGGAAAGATGACCCCGCCCCTTGCCCCTGCTGCCTGTGGTGGGCAAGGGAGCTGACCTTCCTCCTTACCAGCTTCAGCATTCGGGAAAGTGTTCAGGGCAGCCCAGAAGAACTTGACCAACTCTGCCGCTCTTGCCCCCATCTCAGTGCTACTGAGAGGTGATTGTTCTGTAGAAACTAAAGCAGTATCAGCCAACAGAGCCTACAAATATCAGTCCCTGTGCAGGGGACTCCTGTGCTCCTCTAAAAAGGACAGTCAAAAGCTCTGGGATATGTTATTCTCTAATTAATCATTCTGGGGACAGACAGAAAGGACACAAAAGTATCACCAATTTCTACATGCTGTCAAGTGAACTCACACCAATTTCTGTGAGCTGTCAAGTGGACCCAGCTGTATGAGGTGATTTTCAGTGGCACGGCCCACGTTTAGGGCTTCTTTCCATACAAAGGTGAGCGTGGGAATGCCAGAGAATACAGCTGCAACTTCTGCTCTTCACAAGCTTCAGGAAGCATGGATGACAAGAGCTTCCTTTTGGGGAGATAAGTCACCCAGAGCCCAGGGTCCCTTGATAACGCTCCAGCATCTCCTAAGGTACTTGACACAAAGCTGTTTATGAACGAGAGTTTTCCCTTGTTAATTCAACGTCAGTAGCTGAGTACCTGTTAGAGCAGGATTCTTGGTGATAGACACCCCATTTCTGCACCTCCATGTGACCCACTTTCTCAGACACATGCCAAGTCTCACTAGACTTAGAGGTAAAGGTTGAGTCTGTGTGACTTTCTAGAGAAGTGAGAGGTGACTCTCACACCTAATACCACCCAGTCAACAGCCAGGGTACCAGGGGTCATATGTGTTCAGGGGCCAATATGTGTTCAGTGCCTATGCGCCCAACAATGCCAACAGTGCATTGTTTCATTGACTAAACCCCTGGCAGTGCCCCCTGATTCACAGATCAGGAAACAGGCCATCCAGACATGTGGATTTAGAGACTGAACCCCAACACTCGTATTTCAACCCTCTTTCTGAGCTTGATGCTAGCACAGCCAAAGGAGCTGTGTCTGGAGGGTCTACAGAGTGGGTGTGGGGAGTTCTGGTAGAGGGAAAGCACAGTAAGGAAAGACAGACCCAGTCCTGTCCCCCATGTGCCAGGAGAGCATTCCCACCCCACCCTTCCACCCCGGGTCGGTGCCAAGGCCTGCCTGTATTCTGTTGAGAAGTGTAAATGAGATTGACAGACCACTGGACAGCTGCCACTGCAAAGCTTTGGAGAGTGTCTGCTAAGTCCCTGTAGCCTTTCAGCCACAGGTGCTGAGGAGCAAGTCAGATGAGCCATGCGCATGGGGAAAAGTCTAGAATAGTAGAGAGGGCTTGCTCCTAGCTAAAGGGGAGATCCCACTGCCTGAAGCAGAGGCTGTTGGGAGGAAGTGGAGGCAGCTGGTAGAGACCAGGCGCTCTCCAGCTCTGGGCAGTTCCTCTCATGTTGAAGCCAAGGGACGGATGTGGTTTCCAACTCTCTGGAGGCCCCGAAAGATATGTATCCTGGCCCCATGCAAGTTTGATTTAGAGATAAGCGCTGGTCTGGAGCCAGAAGGAGCTGGGTTGCTTAGCATGAATCCCCAGCTTTCCCTGGCCTTGATCTCCCCCCTTTCCTTCCCATGCCCCTCACTGCCATTGCAACATCACGTTGCTGCCCAGGTTCAGGAAGTACTGGCATGTTCCTCTGGGTGACCTTTGGGTTTGGGGTCCCCATCCTTGATGTATCTTGATGAAGGCAGAGGTATAATTTCCTTCCTCTGTGGAAGAGGCCTTGTGGCAGGTAAGCATCTGGATTTCATATTCCTCTGAAATTTGACTGAACCCAGCTTTGATCTGCCCATGCCAGGACTGGAAAGGGCACTGCACATTCATAGATCTACCCCCAGAAAGGCTTCCCTGACCATGTGGGGATCCAAAGGCATTTTTGTCTCTCAGCCCTGATGACTGCCGTGTGCAGTAAGTTGTTTTTATGGGGGCTGGACAGACTGGGCTTCTTCATTGACAGGCTTTAGTATCAGATCCGTATCTTAGTCATTTAAAGACAATCTTTGGCATCAAGAACCACAGTTGCCCCACAGTGGGTGCTCAGTGATGCTTATTATAAAATGGGTGGAGAGGATGAGAGAGACGGAGAGGGAGGAAAAGGGGGATTTTTGGCTAACTCGTGTTTGTTAACCATGTGAACGAGGGATGCATACAGATACACGAAGAACAGGAGGGAATCACAGGATGCAAAGCACACACGTGTTGTTTTGGTTTTGTTTTGCTTTTGTCTTTTTTTTCACCCAGAATATCTAATTAGTCTTTCAGAGGTGCTATTTAGGGCTACACACAGAAACTTCGTGGACAAATGATAATTTCATTTTATTCTTTCTTTGTTTTGTTTCGGTTTTTTTTGAGCTAGTTTCTCTGTATCTCTGGCTGTCCTTGAACTTGCTCTGTAGACCGGGCTGGCCCCGAGCACAGAGTTCCATCTGCCTCTGCCTCCAGACTGCTGGGATTAAAGGCATGTATCACCGCCCGACTTTTATTCTTGTCTCTCTTCAGTATTATAGCGGCATGATGGTTCATCTTCATTGTCAGCCTGGCTGGATCCACAACACTTAGATGATCGATGGGGCTCTCCTGTAGATGTATCCGTGAAGGTGTTTCTAGGAGAGGGGTGACTCAGAATCAAAGAGAACAAAGAGAAAGTCCCCTCCCATCAGTGAGCCGCTCAGCATGCTCCTTGTCACTAGGTAAGCTGCCCCTCTCTGTGAACTGAACCCTTTGAACATGTGAACACCAAATAAACCCCTCCCCCTGAGGTTGCTCAGTCAGGCATTTGCTTACAACAATGAGAAAAGCAACACGTGCCCTTTTAGATGTTATGCTTTTCTTTAATAAATATTGATAGAAGCTACAATTTTATATTCTTAAATAGATATTTTATTACTAAAATACTAAAGTACTTTAATGTTGAAGGCATTAAAGGTGCATAAAATCAAGTAGGTAAACTTTTGAAAAGGTATTTTGTGATTAAACACTTTATTATAGTCATATTATATATAAAAACGTATCACTTTTAAATCTACCACCTCACTGAAAGTTCACCGCAACCAGTCAATATGGACAATATTTTTTTCTTATTTTACAAAATGGGTACAATTCTAAGAAAATCTCAAGTTACAAGGAGACATTTGCTATAATGTATGAAAACTGTAAGGGTATGAAAGGTGAGGTTGAAAATGGCCCTGGAGGGAAAGAGGAAATAGAGTGCACAAAATCTAAAATCACAAGAGGAAGGGTCAGCACAAAACAATAACCCCTCCCAGGCATCCCAAGCAAGCCCAGGACTGTGCTGCCGACGGAGCAGATGAGTAAATACAATGATGTTATTACCAGTAAGAGTTTGTCTCTTGGCTTTCGCTGGGTAATTCCCAATTCCTTGAAACTAGCACATGCAAAAGGACAACCAAGTATTTGTTATAGCACCTTGAGAAAAAGGAAAACAAGCAGAGCCCAAGCCTATGGGGCCACATGGAGAGTTAGAACTACCAAATATATCCCTTTCCCCATGGGACTGGGCCCCACCATCCCATGCTGCCCGTCTGTCTTCCAGTGTTCAGAACAGCAAGGCTGAAAGAGACCTTGGGCAAGAGATTTCTGGATACAGCAAGCTGTTGCACAAGATGCTTGGCCAAGCCTTTGGGTGTTCTCTCTGGCTTGTGCTGCAGGACACAGGTATTGCACAGGCGACACCCGCACAGATAAGGAGAGATTTACGTAGTTCCCCGTCCGGCTTGCACATATTCCCACTTGACCCAACGCTCAGGTCAAGAAACTGCTCCCTGGTAGGAGAAGTTCAAAAACAGTGACTGTCTCTCCACCATCCTGGGTTCCATGGCTGCAACTTACTATGGTCGTGGACAGCTAGGATACAGACATGGTTCCGAGTGGTTAAGCAATATGGGCAGGGCTCAGGAGAATGGGTTCGGAGGCACAGAGACCCGTATCCAGTTTCCTCCTGTTTTCTGCAGATTTGTGAGAATAATTTCAGCTAACAATTAGCTTTTATATCTGGAAAACCACAGCCTGATAGTGTTTATTTCACAGGGCAGCTATGAAAATGAAATAAGGTCATACACCTCGGTGGAAAAGCCTCAGTTCTGTGCTTAAGTCTCTGCTTGTTTAATGCGGGGTATGTGTGAAGACACACTGCTCCAAAGCAAGGTGACTTCCATGTCCTGAAGGGCCATTTATTTGCCACTCGTCGTTAAGAAGAGGACATGGGCAAACCCAGGCAGCAACTAGCATCACACTGCTCAGGCCTCATTTTCCCACGTGCAAAGAGAACTGGCTGGGAGTATTGGGCATCCCTTGCCTTTCGAAGGGGCCAGCCCACAGCCAGCATGCAGAAGAAAGTGAAGAAACATGTCAACTCTGCTCCAAGGAAGCACAGTGGGGAAATGTCTAACCGGCACACTCAGGCAGGGAGAGAGCGCCATGAGAAAACGGAGGTGACAAGGATGCACCGCAGAGTGGGGGCAGCCTCCACGGAGCCCTGCACAGCTGCCCCTATCAGGGAGCACTCAGTATGGGAAGAGAGCACCCTCCACAATGAGTATTTGAAAGTCATGATGAAGCGTTTATTCTTTGCAAGCCAAAGGTCACAGTGTCCCCCTATCCTCTTCCTGAATTCATTTCACTGAGAAAAACAGAGTTAATAATGTCAGTCAGTTCTTAAGAATAGATGTTTTCAATATTGTCCCCAGAGAGAGGGGTTGAAACTTTAGAAGCCATTTGTAAATGTGGCTGTTCTGCCTGGGTTTGCCAAGACGGTATACAACCTGCTGGACTTTCAGATTGGAAACCCTGGTTCTACCCGGAAACTTGCCATTTATGATCCATGTATTCACCAACACATACTTAGACTTCTTCATGTGTGAAATATCTGATTCTTACAATAATTTAGTTAGAGGAGACAACTAAAATGCCACAAGATCTAAAGCATATATGTGTGTGTATACATGCATACATACATGCACACACACATGAACACATACATGCATATATGCATGCATAGTGAGTTTTAAAAGGTACTATAGTGAGTAATATAAAGATCTACCTTTGTGCACTTGCTTTTCCCCTGTAGCAGGAAACCACCTTAAATTTCTGTTTTAAAGCCTCTCTAAGACTCTGCTAAAATGTTTGAAAATATTTAGTTCCTGAAAATTAGATACTAGTGATTTTAGAGGACATTATCACCCAAGAACTGTGAAGCAAGTCAAGTTGTAATTCATAGCCGTGAGGGCCCCTTGGCTATGGTTATGTTTCTCAGATTGACTCACAGCAGACTAGAAGGCCAGCACCTATCTTTTGTGCTATCAATCTTTTCCTTCAAAAAAGAAAAGAAAAACTTTTCTTTTTCTTTCCTTTTGCAATGCTGAATGTCAAACCTGGAGCTTGTGCCTGCTAGGGAAGCACTCTGCCACCGAGTTACGGGCTTCGCCGTTAGAAAGCTATTTCTTGATCAAAGAATAACGTCTCACAGATACTCTGTTTCTGTTTGTCTGTTTTAATACAGGGGCTTTCATGCTGGGCAGTTGCTCCACCACTGAGCTATACCATCAACCTCATTCCAGCCACTGTTTCCAGGGAGTCCACATTACCACCCTTCCTGTCCATGAAGAGAGCAGCAGGCAGCCTCCAGTGTTAATGTAGCATGATCTGGTGGAGCAGCTCAGAGCCGAGGTGGGGAAAGACCAACGGCTTCCTGGAAATGAATCTGCTTTCTTATGACAAGCAACCTAAGCTGAGAGATCCAGAGTCTAGGGTGAGAACCATGAATGCAGTAGACAGCTGACAGAGGTACCCTTCGGTACCTGAGTGTAAGATCATGTTTTCTAGTTATCTCTCAGCTAAAACCTGGCTTTTGTGAGAAACTCCTGACTAAACTTACAAAGGCCTTTGAGAGATGATTCCCATCTCCGAAGTAATTTCGTGGCATCTTTCTCAGTTCCCCCTTTCAATTCCCTTCTTTCCCCAGCCCTGACACATCTGATCCCCTAGTTAACTCTCATTGGTTTACTGTCACTTTAAAATCCCTCCAATCCCACCCATCCCCGTATCCCACTGCCTAGAGCAAGCAAGGGTCATCTCTCCCTGGACCACAGGTCTTCCACCCTGTCTTTTTGCTTTATTATTTTTACCCCTGTGGGTCCTTTACCGTGTAATTTTGGCCTTAAAAAAATCTCTCCATATCAACAGGCTCTCAGGACCTTTATGGTTCTTGCTCGTCTTAAGGATGAGATCCAAAGTTTCTCAGAGCAGGCCTGGAGACCCCACCTGGTCCAGACCCGCCTAGTTTCTTTGTCTAGCATCTCCATGTCTGCTCACTCCTAGACCTTTCTCTTTGCTTCCTCACAGGCTCTTCCCTCTGCCTGGAATAGCTGCTCTTCATGTTCAGGCCTTACACAAGTATCACTTCCTCAGAGCACAGCCCTCTGACCGCACCCCATGGCTCCAATGCACCCATCTCCAGTTTGCTGTCGGTATCGATGGGAAAGAAAATACCTGCACCCACGTTTTCTCCTTGCTTCTATTCTGTACCTGGCCATGCTCCTCTCCTTGAAGTCTAAGAATCCCTGTGAAGGCCTGGTCAATGTTTCCAACCACAGCCAAAGGGAGGCCATCAGGAAGTGTGGTGTGACACCTGCAGAATTCTCTTTTTTTCTGCCCCTCTCCTCTGAGCTACAAGATATATCTTATTGCTATTTGGTTTGGTTTTCTTCTCCAGATGTCTAGCTCGGCCTACCCCTGGGTCTCCATTCTCTTCCCACAGCTGCCTTGCTGCATGGCCTTTGTCAAGCATCAGCTTCCACGAGGTACTGAGCTACTTCGGCTTCTATGTGGGATCACTTCTAAGCTCGTACCCCAGAAGGGTGCGGCCAAGGCTGCTATGGGTTCCTCCGAAGTCCTTGCTTGGGGTCCCTCACTAGCATTTCTTTCTCCATACACATGGCTTTTTGTCAGAGGGACACTGGCAGTTCCTTGTTAGTCCTTCCCCCAAGTCTGGGAGAGACCTGGTGCTGACATGAACACTAAGGGTCCAGAGAGGCAGAAAGAACAGACCATTTCCAGAGCACCCTCGTATTCTCTTTGAGAATCACAGACACGGTCAGGCTAACCAGACACTGGAATGGGAAGGGTACTGTGGATGGTGGTGTGGTGGGAGTCCCTTGAGAGCGGGAGGCTGGGGAGTGGCAACGATCTAATTGTGTCCTAGGCTCATGGAGGTCCGGCAGAAGGATGCTCGGAATGTCTCTCCCTTAAATTTCTACCCCCCCGTCCCTCTTGGGATGCTCTGCTACAGCTCGGGTGGGTTATACTGTAGGCCCATCCTTCCTGCGCCACAGTCTGGGCTCCTTCCACAAGCTAGCTCATATTCTCCAATTTAATTTCTCACCTTTCTTTTTTTCACACACTCCACATTGCTGTGACCTCAGCCAAGTTCTGTGACAGGCCACAAAGATTCTGGTTGGCCAGGCTGTTCCACTGCCTGGAATAACCTCACTTTCCTCCCTGGTAGGCACACGTGAGTCACACATAGCTTCAAAACATGGCTTAAATGTCAATGTGGCTTTGAACTCATCTGCCCCTCTTCCTGACTTACCCTCCTCCCTCATCCACAGCTCACTTTGAACTCCTGTCCACAGGGTGAAATCTTAGGGTTGACAGTACCACCGAGCATATCCGTGCATCAGTACAGTGGTAAACAAAGGCACGTTGAGCTCCCAGAGAGCAGAGGTTGTCTTTGTTCCCTGTGGATCTCTGTTCCTGGTGTAGCTGGAGTCGGCGTGCAGATGTTCAAAACCTACCATCCCAGTAGGATTGTTTGGGATCTTTGTTTCCACCACGGAGGAACTGTGAACGCCTTGAAGCTGATGGTGTGACAATGAGGGCTTTTACAGAATAGCGGGAGATGCAAGAATGTCACAGAGCGAACGGCAAAATCCCTCCGTTTCTGTCTTTAGAAGAGTCACTTGTCTGTCAGAGCCAGTTACTACTGCCACCTGGTGTCCATTTACCTCATTTGCAGGTTGGGCTCTTAGATTAAACGCTCTGCAGTTTTTCTTGTTGCAATGACTAGTTTGGAAATACTACCCCCGACTTTTACCCATTCACAATGGCGGAAAAATAAAGTCATTTTGAGGAGATCTCTTATTTGCCTTCCTAGTTTCTACTCCAACCTAGAGATCACAGGACATGGAGGTAGCTTGGGGCTGAGGAGGAACAGCCTGCTTCTGCAGCACCCTCAGGAACCACCAGGCTGTCTGCATCTGTAGACCTGTGGACAGAGCAGAGATGGGCCGTTTTTAGGCTGCCCACAGTGCATCGCCCTTCTTCCCAAGGTCATAAAACAGTTGGGTTAAGAATGGCCAGCAGGACCCTGTAGTGCTCAGCCCAGGATTCTAATCAGGCATGCCATTGACAGAGGTCCGCATGAAAACCCGTGCCGTGTGTACTAGAGAGCAAGTCCAGCCACCCAGTGACACTGTTTATCTGTCCCTATAACTTCCTTCACAACAGTGAACAAGAGAATGATCAGCAACTGCCATTTTCTGGGACTTCTCCTTACTGCCACCATTATTCTAGAAAACAATGGTGACTCCTTGCTCTTTGATCTTCACATTGGCAACTGAGACTCTTGAGTGGAGGAATTAAGTTCCTCTCCTTAGCCAAGCCTCTGTCAGCAGCCTGGGCAGACTGTCTGGAAGGGCAGCCGACAGGAAGTCGTCGATGTTTCTTCGGGGCTTGGATGTGTCTTCGCCAGGAAACCGTCCTCTCCGGACTGCAGCTTTCAGCCTGGGAGCCTTCTTTCTCTCCTCAGCAGACCACAGTCAGGTGGACATGGAAGACACCAGATAAGCCTAGCAAAGCTGCATACAGCTGCACCTCGTAAAGACCTTCGTTCTGTCTGTGAACAAGTTGTATGAAGCATGGCTGCAGACAGAATCTATGTATTGGGAATTGCTGGCATGAATAAAAGAGTCTTTCTAGCGCTGACCATAATGTCACCTTGGGTAAAGGCTTGTGCTACCAATCCTGACAGCTTGACGTTGGCCCCTGGGACCCATGTAGGAGAAGGATGAATCAGTTCCCAAAAGTTGTCCTCAGACTTCCCTGTGTATGCACGCCCATGGACACACACACCCCACAAATGACAGGAACAGGAATTTGAAAACAGAGTCTGTTTACAGGAATATTTTCTGAGAAAAGCAGGAGTCTGTTGGTACAAAGGGTTGGCTCACTGAAGTCCCAGGCTGAAGATCAGAAAGAAGAGATGAAAGAAGGTCTAGGCTAGTTCTGAAGGGACCTTTCTCTGAGATACAAATCTTGTCCTGAGACCCCACTTTCCTATCCACAGCCCAGTGGCTGCTTCTGCAGGTCACATGGGAGATCCATCCTTCCATCCTTCCTTCCTTCCTTCCTTCCTTCCTTCCTTCCTTCCTTCCTTCCTTCCTTCCTTCCTTCTTTCCTTCTTTTCTTCCACCCCTCCTTTCCCTGTTTTTTCCTCTCTCCAGCCTTCCTCTCTTGCCTCCTCCCTTTCCCCAACAGAGTCATGAGAACTTTACTGGATAAGTGGGTGGAAGGTTCATGATTTTTTGTGCAGGGACATGACTTCTTGTGTGGGACACTTTGGGTTCTTTAGAATTTTGTTTCTATTTGACTTATTTCCAGAAAGAGGAATATGCCATTGTATTGGTCAGGTCTGCATGGCCTGGGTACTTTGGAACGGAGGACCACCCTCCTAGTCCTCTACTCCTGGGCATGTACTTTTCTACTTTCCGTACTTTTCTTCCTTTTTTTTTAATTTCATTTTTCCATCCAATTATTTACACTTCCTTCCCTCCTCCTAATCCCCTCCTGCTCCCCTATACCCCCTCCTCCCTCTCCCACCTTGCTGGAGAGAGGGCAGGGAACCCTGCCTTGTGAGAAGTCCAAGGCCCTCCCCACTACATCCAGGTCTAGGGAGCTGTGCATCCACATAGACTAGGGTCCCAAAAAGCCAGAATATACCGTAAAAACAAGTCCCAGTGCTATTACCAATGCCTTCTCATTCAGCCCCCATTGTCAGCCACAATCAGAGAGTCCGGTTTGATCACATGCTCGTTCAGACTCGGTCCAGCTGGATTTGGTGAGCTCCCATTAGAACAGGCACACTGCCTCATTTGGTGGACCAACCCCTCATGGTCCTGACTTCCTTGCTCATCTTCTCCCTCCTTCTGCTCTTCAGCTGGACCTTGGGAGCCCAGCCCGTTGCTATGATGAGGGTCTCTGTCTCTATCTACGTCTGTCACCGGACGAAGATTCTATGGTGATATTCAAGATAATCATCAGTGTGATAGTGGGGCAAGGACAGTTCAGGCACCCTCTCCTCTGCCATCCAAGAACCTAGCTGGGGACATCTCCGTGGACACCTGGGATCCCCTCTAGAGCCAAGTCTCTTGCCAACCCTAAAATGGATTCCTTAATGTAGGTATCTTCTTCCCTGCTCCTATATCCGCCCTTCCTCCATCTCCACTCTCCCACTCCCTCAAACTCTTGCCAGTCCTTCCTTTCTCCCTTCCCTTTCCCCCGTTGCCCGGTGCCCCCGCCGCGGTTTTGCCCCCCCCCCCCCCCCCATGCTCATAACTTTTGCCCTGCAATCTTGTTTACTTCCAATTTCCAGGAGGATCTATATATGTTTTTCTTTGGGTTTGCCTTGTTATTTGGTTTCTCTGACATTTCTTCCATTTGATCAACATTTATCCTCTCATCATCAAAAGGATGAGAGTAATGACTTAGGGTAAGGTTGAGAAATACAAGGAAATAAAAAAAAGTCTTTTATTCAGTCTGTTCCAGGTATGACTGGAGTGATTGTGTGGGGATCAAGATTAACAGGGCTACTCGGGTTTCTCCCAAGGTTTTGTTTCCTATGGGAAGCTTGCAGGAATAAGCTGATGACCCAGGGTTGGGTTTACAATTCAGAAATGGTGTGTGTCCACGTGTCAGTCCCTAGCTGCCCTCTCTTCCACTTTCATTTTCAAAGCAGTGGCAGGCTGAGTGCAGGGCCTGACAGCAGTGGCTTTTCTACCATGGGGAAGCACGGTAGCAATTTCTAGATCACATCAGTTCTGCGAGATTGACTAGCCATCTGGAAACCACATGCATAATAACACCTTATAGCTGAGGTTCAAAGTCAACCCTTTGGGTTTTCTTCTAAGTGGTCATTTCTTCTAAACGGTAGCGCCATGGAGAAGCACCACACAGAGATGGTTTCTGGTATGCTTGTGGAAAATTCCCAATTGTAGGCCTGGATGTCTTCTTCAGCAACGTACACATCTCCTGGTAGTGTGACGGTGGCTCATCCATCCGGCAGTCTGTTCCCTTTCCCATCCCTGGACTCCGCAATGTCCTGTGACTCGCTGGGTAACAACTGACAATGAAATCGATGTCAGGGAAGTTGTGCAAGTTGCAGAAGCCAGACTCGAGGGGCTCTTGCTGGCTCTGCTCTTGACCTCTTGAAACTCTTCCCTGAGACCACTGAGGAAGGATGCCTGGCCAGTCTTCTGGTAAAGAACGGTCACATGGAGAAGAATCAAAGTAGACACCAACTGCTAGCCATGTGACAGCCCAGATTCGCTGACCCCACAGTTCAATAGGGCTGTGGGATGGGCTGAGGCCTTGCAGTGGCTAGAACACTTCCCTTAGCCATTTCACAGTTCCAAGGAAGAGGGGCCTGCAGCTGTGCTAAGGCAATGGGTTTGGGGGGAATTCATTGACTCATTCACTTTATGGACTCTAAACGCTCCAATAGTCACGAGGACCCTGAAAGGTTCTCATTCGTTTTCTGTTTTATAGAAATGGAAACCGAGTCTCAGAAAAATGATACTAAGCCCAGAAAAGTCAGGGTTGGATTTTGTATTCCTGTCCATGTGGATGTATGGACTAGTTTCCCTCCATCCCACTGATCCATAAGTCACTGTGATGCGATGCTGTGAACACGTTATAGAATGGGCTGTAGGGGTTGGCTCCTAAACTCCACTGTGTTCTTTTGTTGTTGTTAATAAAGGAACCATTGATGTACTAAAGAAAAGAGGGGCTTATTATTAAAGTATGGGATTTAATTTTTCAGATTTATTTTAATTTTAATTTGTTTGAGTATTTGCCAGCACATATGCGTGCACACCATCTCTGTGTCTGGTTCCCCGTGAAAGACAAAAGAGGGATTCAGATCCCCTGGAACTGGAGAAAGTTGTGATCTGTCACGTGGGTGCTGGGAATTGAATCCAGGTCTTTTACAAGAACAGTAAGTGTCTTAACCATGAGTCATCTCTCCCTCCTCAAGAATGACATTTTGCTCAGTCTGAAACAAGACACCTATACCATCTGCTGTAGGCTCACGAACCCCCAGGAAAGAAGAAGCAGAAAAAAATGTCAATGGAGAAGACAGAGAGAAAGAATGAGACATGATGTAGCCATTGCGATCACAAACTCACAACTGCACTTGCTTGCACTGGTACAGCACAAGACTGGACCTGCCAACAGCTAGTCAAGGATGTGGAGGGGCACATGGACCCCTGCTCCCATCTGGTGAATGATTGGCTGTGGCAGATGCTGAGAGAGAAGGAGTCATTGTCTTCAGTTGTGTAGCCGCTGATGAACCCGCCAGATTTCAATAGATAATTCCACACCATTGCCATAGGGAAAGCCCTTGTGAAACTCAGTGGGGTCGCAAAACCAAACAAAAACGCAAGGAAGTCAGGATCACGAGGGGTGCGTCCACCCACTGAGATGGTGGGACTGATCTAATGGGAGCTCACCAAGGCCAGCTGGACTGGGAGTGATGGAGCATGTGATCAAACTGGACACTCTGATGTGGCTGGCAATGAAGGCTGACTGAGAAGCCAAGGACAATGGCACTGGGTTTTTATTCTACTGCATGGACTGACTTTGTGGGAGCCTGGTTTGTTTGGATGCTCACCTTTATAGACCTGGATGGAGGGGGGAGGACCTTGGCAGGGAATCCTACTGCTCTTAAGACTAGAAAGGGAGGGGGAGGTGCGGAGGGGAAGGGAAAAGGGAGGCGAGGAAGAGGTGGAAATTTTTAATAAATTTAAAAAATACATTGTATGAAACTCAAAAATTAATAAAATATTTTAATTAACCTAAAAAAAAGAAATGAGGGTGGGAAGAAGGGAATTGATAGGAGCGAAAAAGGAGATAAGAAAGAGTAGGGCACGAGAGACATCAGCTTTCTTACCTACATAAAATTGTCAAAGAATTTAATTAGCAAATGAAAAGGGCGGTAGCTCATGCCAGGGGAGAGAATGTCCTTCTCAGGGGAGAGAGAAAAGATTACTCAGCAGCACATTCTTAACTCTTCTGGGCAGGAAGCACAAGGTAACAGGGGAAAAGAGATTGGAATCAAGAGAAGACATAGTGGGCTGGTAATATGGCCGACCACAGTAGTTCTCAGCCTTCCCAATGCTGCAACCCTTTAATATAGTTCCTCATGTTGTGGTGACTCCCAACCATGAGATTATTTTTGTTGCTTCTTCATAACTGTAATTGTGTTATTGTTATGAATTGTAATGTAAATATCTGTGTTTTCTGAAGGTCTTAGGCGACCCCTGTGAAAGGGTCATTTGATCCCCATAGGGATCGCAACCCCCAGGTTCAGATTCAGTGGCCTATCACATAAAAGGACTTGCCATGTGAGCCTGATGTCTGAATTTAATCACTGGAGCCTATGATGGAAAGAGAGACCTAACTCCCAAAAGTTGTCCTCTGATCTCCACATGTGACACATGAGCCCCACGTTCCAACAATAAACAAACAATATATTAAGAAGAGAAAATACAAAGCTGTTTGTTAGACACTAAAAGCAAAAGGTAGCTT